TACAAATCTGGGATGCGTACTTAAACGGGTGCGTACTTAATCGGGAGGCTACTGTACCGAGTTATATGAAAAAGATCTCACATCGTCGTTAGGCCGTAAAGAGGGATATTCTCTAGCGTTTCCTAGTTCATAGATGAGAAAATAATGATTAGACATTTTCAACAGCAACGATATTATACATATTTATGGATTGCACACCGGAACATGAATTGTCTTGATTACACAGCCGCACTCCACCACTACGCCACCAAGCTTTTCAACAAGTTCCATTGTCACTTTAAGTGTTTTACCCTGTACAGCAAAACTATGAGGTAAAATCACTACGTTATCAAATGTGATAAGCATGACTTTTCATACGGACGCAACCAAATCATCGATGATGACAACACGCCCTCCGTTAGGGATGGCATCACAATGAATTTCCATCCGACCGCTAAAATAGCCCGATACATAATCAACGCCAATGACGTCTCCCGGTAATCTCCGAGCGCGACGTACTGGCACAAAAGCGGCCTGTAGTGCCAAAGCCAATGGCGCGCCAAAAATAAATCCTCGCGACTCGGTACTCACAACATGCGTGATGCCAAGGTCCACATATCTCATTTTAAGAGCGTCAATGGCAACTTGGAAGGCAATAGGATCCAAGAGTAGCGACGTGACATCGCTAAAATTTGCACCAGGCTTAGGAAAATTATTGTACACACATATTCTTTCTTTAATATAAGCGGACACTTCTTCTTCGTTTGTCATATCCGTCGGTGGCGATCGCATCGCAGCTCTTCTTTGCTGCAATTTCGTACCGGTTTATTGTTTTGGCACCAAATTTTAGGGTAGAATAGTCCACAAAAACAATTTAGTCGATGTTCCCAGCTGGAAACAAAGCATCATTTCAAGGCGTCAATGTTGGCGCTGGAGGCTTCTCCGACGGTGGGTGTTGTTAAATATAGGAGAAATAAAAGCAACACTAGACTCTTGATGTCTTGATTTCAATCAGATTGGCTGCGCGTGGGTAAAAGCTTTCCAAGGGAAAATGATGGTAATAGTGTACAGACTAAGCAAAACATCGATGGTCTGTCCGAAAGCTCTTTACAAGTGTACACGCATCGTCAAGATAGTCGTTCTAAAGAGAAGAAGCGACACAAGAAGAAAAATCGAATACATGAGAGGTCGATGACTGTCAATTCGCGCGAGAGTCGCCATCTCGCCAAGCACACAAAGGGTAAGATTGGTAAGCTGCGCAGGTCATCTGACAGGGATCACTCTAGCTCTCGACGATCTTGTAGACATAGTAATTCGATCTTGCGGTCTGTGTCGCGCAATCAGAAAGAAGAGTGGAAGATTGTGAAACAGTCTGTAAACGATGTCCTTGCTTTCGGTGACATTGTCGAGAATCCGGCAGACAACCTCTTTGCTTTCGATCGACTAGGGGACCGTGAAAACAGTTTATTCGGATCATCTTATATTCACGATCAGCCATTCTACGAATTGGCTTCAAGACGAATTCTAGGCAACGGTGGATGGGTACCTAAAGCACCGCTAAAATCTGCTAACACTGACACGAGACGCAAAAAGAATTTAGATCAAGATTTAACGCGATACTTCTCGTCTCAGGCACGCCGAATGGAAAAGAATGGTCGACAAAAGCGTTTGTATCTTGCATACTCAGCAAAACGATTATCTCGCTTAAAATCTAGATCAAACGATATTCATTTGGTCCGGGAGACTGGTGTAGTTGGGAGCAGCTTACCTGAAATGGAATATATTCCACTTGATCCGTTGCTTGAGACGGATAGCGACGACATGGAGGAGGATGTTTTCTCAGGCACGAATGAAATTACTATTACTGAAGGGCAAAGTGTCGAACAACACCTGATCGAGCGTGGAAAATTACTAAATGCTGCTGTGACATCACATCCAGATGACATTGACACTTGGCTTGATTTGATAGCCTTCCAAGAACAGACAATATGCCTTCAGACGCAGACAAAACAGTTAACCTCAGCAATCAAAGAAAGTGTCGTGAAAAAGCAAGCGGCGATTCTCACAAAAGCTCTTACTTATAATCCTGACTCTCGGGAACTGCACCGTGTCAAATTAAACATGTCTTTGCAGAATCAAATTGGCTATGATTTAGCTGACATTGACTCATCCCAGCAGCAGCAGCTCGAAAATCTCATCGCAAACGATTTGACAAACTGCGATTTGTGGCTTAAGCGGCTTCAAAGTCAACAACAACACTTTGGTAGCTTCTCTGTACAGTCTGTGCGGGATCTCTATGCGCGCATAATAACAGTTTTACGTGTTGAAAGAGGTAATGTTGCGGCAACGGGGTCTGAAATATCATCAACGTTTAATATAGCGCAAGCCGACGAGTTACCAGTCGCTTTACTTGATTTCCACTTGCTTTTGTGTCAATTTGAACGAAGTGCAGGCTACGCTGAACGCTCGATTGCTCATCTTCAAGCTCTTCTTGATTTTAATTTAAACGAAGTGGCCACGTTCGCCAAAAGTGAAAGCAAACCTACTCATTTGGTGATGCTGCAATTGTTTGCTCAAAGATGGAACGAAAAAAGTGACCTGACTTTCGGTGACGATTGGGATAAAGTTTGTGGACCGGATATTAAAGCTCTAAAAAAGGATTGCCTGACTCCTTCACTTGCTCGATTTCAGGAACACATTGAAAATTCGTGTGTTGTGAACATTAATCACGTGAACCCACCCACCGTGTTACAGACACACGAGCATAAAACAAGTCTGCTCTTAGCTTCTGCCGCATATAAACGGCGATCACGCCCAAACAATAGAGCCGATACCGAGGAAAGTACACACGAAGACCATGAATATGACTTTAATTCTACTGCAAGTGACGACTCAGAGCTAATACCTGGAGGCGACCGACTCATATACAGCAATTTACATGGGTACCGCATAAAAGTCAATGATGCTAATGATGCGAAAGAGTACGAGCGCATTCTGAACACATTACGTGGCACATCTGAACGTCGGCGTGCTGAACAAATTCGTTTACGAGAGAAAGAAAAGAGGAGACGTGCACTTCTTGCAGCGACAGTGTCGCAACTTGAAGATGAGCGCGCCAATTACGATAAAATTGACAAGAATGATCGCTTTATTAACTGGCTTTATCACGAAAACGTACAAATACAGTTACAATGGGCCCCTCTGCACTCGAACAACACTCTTCATCGAAATCTAATCGAGCAACAACCAGACCGTGTCACACTTGTGGACGAAATACAGCCGTTTTTGTTTTCCCTCCCGACATCATATCAATGGCGGCTTGTTGCTGAAATTCTACAGATATGTGGTGTCGAATGGCAAGGCGAATTTTCGTGGGAAAGTAGTTTCTTGAAGTCTACATCAATGTACGCCGGAGGATCTGGAAATTACGACTTACTTGTGGGTCCAATTTTGTCTGTTTTGAATTTACAAAGTGGCGAAGCTAAGTCCATAGTTCATATGCTGCTTTTAAAGCCATGCGACAGGTTGGCATTGCTCGAAAATGCTCTTTTAAAAGATGTTACAACGATACAAAATGTGCTTTGTAACCCGGACAAGGTAAATTTTGTTCGACAAATATTCGCACAAGGATTAAGTTTGTTCCAATCTATGGATGAGTATGACAGAAGTGCACTTAAGTGCTTGTGGATTGGATTTGAACTTGAAATTATACGCTCGATTGGTGTTACGGAGGAAAGGATAGCAAATGTTCGTCATTTTTGTCAAATATTGGCTAAAAAGACTACAGACGACGTCTTAGATTTTGATGTCCTATACTCCTACGCCAAGCTAGAATTTACTTTAAGAAACGAGCGTCAAGTTCAACGTATATGTGAAAACGCACTGAGGTCACTTGCTGCAGACACCATGATGTCGCGCTGCCACCTCCATTCCTTCATATTTCTCTATGCGCGACTCGAGCTGTGGTCGTCTGCCAAGAATCGTGACAAACCGCAGCTTCGTGTATTGCGAAGTCTATATATACTTTGGAATGCGCAGCAATTGGTTCAACAGAATGGCATTTTCAAGGAATCCCTTCGTTCGATCGCTAAAAAGTGTAAGAACCGGGTTAGCGCCTACTTGAAGGAAAAATTGATGTCTGATCCTTCGACAAAAATTGACTTATTTGCGAGATATAGAGCGGATCTCGACTTTGCAGTTCGTCAATGTGCTCATTCGGCAAGTAGGATACCTAGCCATACTGGCAAGAAGCCCTATCGATCAAAGTGCTGGGTCCGTTTTTGCTTGCACAACTTGGTCCTTGTAATATATGCTTACGACGGATTCAAACCAGCATGCGATGAGTATCGTCAATTCCTGGCCAGTAGCGAGCATCGAGATTGTGCACATAATGTGTGGGCGTGGACGTGCTTCCTCGACTTCATGCAGCAACATCATGTGGCTAGCTTATCTCCTACCCTTGCACCACGTATATGGCGTTCGTCAATCTCCGAGGCAGTGAAAAACTTCCCAAACAACGAATTATTTCTCCGACTTTTCGCTGATTCCGAGTCTGGAAATACAATCTCTCAAGTCCTTCGCAATTACTTTTTACGTGTAGAGATGCGATGGCGACGTCATTATGACTCACCTGAACTAGTAGAATGGTTGTTTGCGCTGCTTTGTGAATTTTACCGTATCGAGAGAACTGCAATTATTATGAACTCGTCAACAATTATGGGCTCGAGTTCAGATAGTTTTGTTCATTCCACTTGCTGCATTTTCCACCGTTGGGGCTTGAATGCGATTGCAGTGAATCGAATACGGCAATTGTTTGAAAAAATGGTGAACCAGATTCGTACTAAAGGTATCGCCCTTTGCTGGGAGCTCTACATGCGCTTTGAGGTCGCCATGGGTAAGGTAGATGCGGCGACGAAGGTGCTGTATCGTGGAATAGCTGCCTGTGCATGGAGCAAGTCACTTTACATGACCGGACTTTGCCTCTTGCGTGCTTATTTGAGCGATGATGAATGCCAGGAACTTTTTGAGTTTATGGAGGCAAAAGAGCTGAGTGTGCGTGCTGATTTGAGATAATTTTGGAATAGAGACTTGTATGTTTGTCGTCTTCATATACTTGCCTCTGCTTCCAATTCTCTTACGAATACTTTCGACACCCGTTATACTTCATTTCGTTACAATCATTCTCCTGACATATTGCCTGTCAGGACTTAAACTCTGTACAAAATCCGTGCGACACTACAACTTCAATCCAGATGCTCGTAGCTTTGCGCTTTGAAGAAGCGTAAGTTAGGTCACCGACCTTTTATTCTATGCTTAGAACAAGTACGAGTTTAGCGGATCGCAATCCGTTTACTCCAAGAGTAATTATTGCGTTAACCCAAGGCTAATTACTCTTCCGTTTA